GAATAAATACCCAATCCCTCACATAGAGAATTTATATGCAAAGCTGGCCGGGGTTGGGGGGAGCTGTCCTTCACGAAGTTGGAGATGGGTCAAGTATACTTGCAATTGCATTTAGAACAGGATTCCCAGAAGTATGCTACAATTAATACCCATAAGGTCTTGTACCAATATATGAGATTGCCATCTGGGGTATTGTTAGCCTGCGCAATTTTTTAGTGGACAATAGAGATCATTTTACTAGATCTACCTCAAGTCACCATTTACATAGATGACATTCTAATAACATGGAAAAGTAATAAGGAACACTTAGAGAACTTGGATACAGTCCTAAGATGTTTTTCCAAGGCAAGCCTAAGAATGGAAAAATGTGTGTTCCAGGTCCCTAAATGACCTACTTGGGCTACAGAATTGACAAGATCAGATTATACCCATGGAGGATAAAGTGAGGGCGATCAAAGGTGCCCTAGCTCCCATGTCTGTCCATGAGTTTAGACCATTTCTTAGGCTGGTAAATTATTATGGAAAGTTCATACATAACCTGGCCTCAATCCTGGCACCTTTGCATCAACTCCTAAAAAATGGTCAGCCTTGGAAATGGTCGCATAGATAAAACTTAGCTTTTGGTGAAGTAAAGCAATGACTATCATCTTCTAAGGTGTTGGCACACTATGATCCCAAGAAAGATCTGGTATTCTTGCAATGCCTCATAGTATGGCATCGGAATGGCATTAGCTCATACGTGGCCCAATTGAGAGGAATGCCCAAAAGCATATGAATCCAGAACTTTGGCTAATGCAGAGTGTAAATATACCCAAATAGAGTTAGGAAGTTCCACCAATACCTTCATGGATGAAAATTTGTGACAATAATGGACCACAAACCTCTACTTGGTCTGCTTAAGGAAGACAAGGTAGTGCAGCCCATCCTTTTGGGCTGCATTCAGCGGTGGGCTCTAATACTAAGTGCTCATAATTACAAGTTAGAACACTGTCTGGAAGGCCGAGTAGTGAATGTGGATGCATTGAGCTGCCTCCCATTAGCAGATACACCATCAGCGGTACACCCAATAGAAGAGTCTGTAATAATTTTAAATTTTCTGGTCACACTCCCACTCACAGCTGACAATGTTAGACTTTGGATGCAGAAAGATCCAGTCCTTTCAAAACTGAACCAACTGGTGTTCATGGGGGAAGCCAAAGGGCTCTCACAACTAGAATTGAAATCTTTTTGAACTCGGAGAGACCAGCTCACAGTAAAGGATGGCACATTGTTATGGAGAGCAATAGCAATTGTCCTGAGCAAAGGTCGCTGCGAGATACTGGCTGAACTCTGCCAGGGTTATCCAGGGGTTTCTAAAATGAAGATGTTGATGAGAAGTTATGTCTAGTGGCCAGGCCTGGATGCAGACAAAGGAACATTGGTGGGGCAGTGCCCAGAGTGCCAACAAGGACAAAAATTACTGCCAGCAGCTCCCCCACATCCATGGGAATGGCTGGGTAAACCCTGGACTTGGTAACACATCAATTATGCAAGTCCTTTCGTGGGCTTGATGTTCTTTGTCATTATGGATGCTCACTCTATGCTAGACGTGCATAGAGTTCATTCATCAAACATGGCAACAATGATAGAAAAACTGTGCACATCTTTGAAATACACAGACTCCTGAAAGTGTTGGCCACAGATAATAGGCCATCGCTTACAAGCAGGAAGTTTGAGTTTTTTGAAAGTCAAATGGTATTTGTCATATAAGGACAACTCCATGCCATCCATCATCCAATGGTCT